TTGGTCGAGAGGGTGCGCAGCCGTAGACCAGCAAATTAACGCTCAAATCAGCCCTGTAGCCAACATCAACCATCTAAATGCTATAGATATTGTCATCCTGGCGCCTAAGCAGCTGTAGTCAACTGACCTATCTCACCACACGAACTTTAAACCAACACTGCTTCAGCACACAAGCTGCTACTCCACATAGTTAACGGTCAATACGTTGTTCTCCAATGCTTTATAACCCATATCATCACTTCTTACACATGCTGTTATCCTAAGTGTCCGCTGACCACACTGCATTGCCGCAAATGTGAACTGTACCAAACGGTAATGCGTCATCACCTTACTTACTCCGCAAGACGTTAACCCCGCGTCACTGTTTCCCTGCCTTACTATTCCCCAGCATCTTCTTCCCCCTACACTTACCCCGACTCTCCACCATTATCGCATGGCTAAATGGAGGCTTTTCTTGCAGACCTTTGATGCTTATCCGAATTAGGTTAGGTTACAACTCGTATAGACTATAGATCCTCTTTTCATAGCGTAATGCAGTCAAGTGAAAGTGAGCAGAAACTAAGAAAAGTCGTCCGGCAGTCGGTAAAAAAAGGCGGGGAGACGGGGTAAGCGTGGAGGTAGAGACTAAAGTTAGGCCGGGGGAAAACAGCTGCGACGAACGGACGGGCTGGAGTGATGGGGACTGCTGGTTGTGTATCAACTATCAACAGCGGTATGGCGTAGGGAGTTGCTTACCGAAAATCGTGAGGAGGTTTGACGGCATGGGATAGAGCTGTAAGGCAGTTTTAAATACGGCGTAGAGCGATTGTATTGGTGGCTTACTTCTCATTAGCTCGCTGGTTAATTTCCATGAAGGGGATTTGTACCTTTGGCTTTTAACATATAATCCCTTAGTCTACTCTGCCCTTTATCAGGCTTACGCACGGAAAGGAGGATGAAAGATATGCTGGTCTTGGCAATGCTGGCCTCAGGCATGCATCCCTACCGGGCACCCAAGTACCAGCATTATCAATTTATCGGGAGCGCTGCCGTAGCCCAAAAATTTGACTCTTTAAATCAGCCCAAGAGCCAATGCCAACCCTCTACATGCAATAGAAATAGTCAGCATAACACCTGTGCAGCTGTTCTTACTTGCCTCATTTCGCCACACCAGCTTGAAACAAGCAATGCCTCAGCCCACAAGCTGATAGCCTACTCCAAACGGATTACGCCCAATAGCTCCTAGACCAATGATTTAAGGCTTGTAGTCAAAATGCAGTGAAGTCTGAGAGAGAGGTTTCCGCAACCATCGTGTAAAATTTTTGATCTGCCCAAAGCTCGGCCAGTTGCAACCCTCGAGCTTGTACTCTTTGTAATATGATATCCTAGCCAGACCCTTCTTTGCGGTAACTGGTCGCTTTCAGGTGGCCGAGGAATGGCCAACGGTCGGCTATAACTAATTGGATAGGCCGACCACTGGCCACGTATTATTCTTCGCCAGGATTTTCCCTCCGCGTATCAGCAGACTCGATCATAAATATTTTTTGGTAGAAAATATCTATAACAAGGAAGCTGATCGAGGAATGCCGAATATACCATTCAATTGACAATAAAAATTACAACCCGTTTATATCTCGAAAAAAGTGTAAAAGTCGCAGACATGATGAACAATAATATTCAAAGTTTCTTGAAATTTTCTCTCATTAAAACTCTTTTAATATAACGATTACATATTTTTTATTACTGGTCAACGCTTATAAATAAATAGCTGGGTAAGTATGGAAAAATCCATATCGCCATCTCATTTGCGAGTGGAGTAAAGTCTATCCTAATTAGTGAAGAAACGCTTAGGGAAGAGCCGAGCCTGTTCGAAGACTCTCGGTTTTCAATCAGGGCCTTAAGCACATACCATCACTTCTTACAAATGCCGTAAGCCACAGGGTCCGCAGATCGCTCCAGACTGCCGTAAATGGGAATGGCCCCGCACCGGACTGTTGCATCACCTTACCCACTTTGCAGGCGTAAGCCCAGCCCTGACGCTCACCAGCATCTTCTTCCTCCACACTTACCCCCTTCTCTCCACCTTTCCACGAAAGGGTTAGGTTTGGTTAGAATTCTTCCGCAAGCTGGTACCAAGAGGAGGGGGAGCAGGGGGTAAGCGTGGAGGTTTAGCCTCCAGAAGAACGGACAGGCTTGAGAGGTAGCAGTGTACTGATAGCACCACTGTGGCCCAGGGCGTTTCTTATCGAAAGTGGTGAAGGGGCTAGGCTGCATGAAATAGAAATTTTTGGGGTTTAGCGTGTGGGTTACGACCATTGTTTTGGCGGCCTGCAGCTCATTGGCTTGCTGGTTTACCTCCATGAAGGGATTTAGTCCCTGTGGCTTTCAGCAAGTAATCATGTTGGCTAATTTGCTCTCTAAAAAAAATCGCTGAAAAAAGTGTGAAAAGTGCGATTTTGGAAAAGTACCTCTGCTAAGGTCTGGAGCAAAAAAAATATTCAGTGTATTAAAAAATTTTACTTCCGTAAAAGTTGCACCCAGGTGTTGGCTCGAAAATGTAATTGAGGGAATAAGCCTATCTCATTCCAAAAAAAAATGGCAGCCATTTCAGCAGGACAGGGTAAAAAGGGACAGCATCATGGGGTAATTAGGGACACCCTTAAAACCCATTTACAGCAGAACCTCAGTTAGCAAAGGTGCCAGTTAAGAAAAAATTGAATAAAAACAAAGAATATTGATTACATTTACCTCGCTCAGCCAAAAAAATTTCACTTGTCGAAAAATAAGTGCATCATCAGTCATCACAAAATTGTTCATAGAATGTCATATATAGAATTGTGCACCAGGCATCATAGAATGAAAAGTAATTGACCTTAACTATGATTTATTTCTCCAAAACATATGATGGTTGTCACTAAAACATTCCTTTCTGCTCCAGGTATGTTTTTTACAATCTTTTTATAGTAAATTCACTTAACCCAATTAGAATGGTGTGAAATTACAAGCCATCCTGTAAGCTTACAGATACAGGAAAAATGCTATAAGGCTGCTGATATGAAGCTTGCAGTGGACAAGGTAGTTGAAATGCCCAATGGCCTGATCATGGATATGGTAATATCACATCAATAATATGGTAATTAATGTATACGGTAATATCATATCAATGAAGGAAATACAAGTAAAAATTGCAGAAAATGTCATTTATTCTACCTCTACATCATCTACAATGAAAGAGGAGGACATCAGAGTACTATTAGTAATGGATGAGTGCACTCTGCATACTTCAAATGTTGTAAAATTAAGTTTTATTGCAAGTGTCCCGGATTACCCCATTCCCAGGGGTAATTTGTGACGCTTTTATTTTGCGTCTGGCGCCTCACATACAGCGTATGAAACTTTTTTGGAGATGCCATTCAATAGAAATGAAATCTCTCATGGTAAGAAGTTATTAACAAAAAATGCTCAAAACCGTCCCTTTTTATCCTGTTTGACGGTATGTTATGCTAACCTCTAGGAAAATAAACTTTCTTCTTTATGTACCTCCGTTACTCTTTTATTTTGCCTCAAAACTGCTCAATCGGTTCTGCCCCATATTGATAGGTTGAGATCTGTCTCTTATACACATCTAGATGTGTATAAGAGACAGGTATAGACCTGTATTTTGCATGTTTCAATTCAAGTTTAATTTAGCTAGTAAAAAAATGGCATCATTTATAAAATAAAAAGTGGTCTAAGTTACCCCATTTTACGGTACCTCTCAAACTAATAAACTTAACTCGATGAAACTTGGTACACGTATTCATTAGGACCTAACGGTAATGTAAAGCTCGTGAAAATTTGTTGAATTTAGCCTTCAATTGTTTTTACCATATTTTTATGGAAATATGGCCCGAATTTACAGTGATCAAGGAATTTCTTCCAAATTACTGAAAAGATTCGGACGAAATTTTGAATTTACAGTCCTAACTACTGAAAGGTGATATTTAGCTCGTGAACATTTTTTCGATTGTGCCTTCGTTCGCGAGTTTCATTCGTAATTTAAACAGCAATACGTGCTTAAATTCGCAGTAATCAAGAAATTTCTTGCAAACAACTGAACAGATTTGAACGAAATTTAGTATTTTAATACCTAACCTCAGCATCGGCGATGTTTAGCTCGTTAAAATTTTTTCGTTTTGCCTTCGTTTGTGAGTTATACGGCTATACGTAAACGGGTCTTGGTTAAACCAGCCGGTAGAAAAGCCGATCGTTCCTCCTATATCTGTATAACTTGCGAACAAGCGACTAAGGAAGTGTGAAATCAAGAATGGCGGTAAAATGAAAAATCTAGCAAACGACGGTAAAATATTTTTTTTAAAATCTAAAAAACACCATTTGGTAGTTAGGAATGTATATTCAAAATTTCGTTCAAATCTGTTCGGTAGGTTGGAAAAAATTCTTTGATCACCGCGAATTTCGGCCTGTGTCGCAATATAACTCACGAATGAATAAAATTAAGGTGATATTTAAAAAATTTTCGCAAGCTAAACGTCACCGTTAAGTTCTGATGAAAACATGTTCCAAGTTTTATTGAGCTGCGTTCATTAGTTTGGGTGATATTCCTTGATAACTGAATTTGGAGATTGGTTGTGAGTCCGGCCGTAAATTCGCCCGAGACGTCCTAGGTTTCTAGTGCTGAAACAGTTAAAACAGCTGAAAAACACATTGGTTCACTAAAAGGGGTCCTATTTGGGAAATACACATTTGTCTTCAACCTTCATCTTTTAAAATTGCAGCGAACTAAATTTTCTGGTAAGAGGCGCATGATTTTAGGGGGGCGCTAGAAATTAACTAGGGAGCCAAAGGGGGCGCTACCCTGAAAAAGTTTGGGAACCAATGGTCTAGACCAAAGAGCACTGAAACGTCAGTTCCAATTCTAATAGTTAATCAGTTCCTAACTCAATTTCAATTTGTAAGGAAATGTTAAGAATGTTTACATAATTGTAGTCTAAAGAAACATCTTATTATTTTGGCAGGTTTAAAGGAAATTATCGCGGTTTTGATGAGGTTCAGGGAGAAGCTGACCAAGAAATCGAACTTCATCCTGACAGTAAGGGAGTAAAGGAATACAGCATCAAGTGAGTTGTTCTGCAAACCGAATTCTGTGACGTTTTACTGACAGCAGTTCTAATGTGTAGTTAGTTACATTACATGACTTTCTTGTTATTAGGAGTTGAATATGAACATTATTTCGATTCGAATCCATGATGCTTCATTGATATTGGATCAATTTTTTTTTTAATTTCGGCAGAATTTTGCGCTTACTCATCTATGTAGACAAGTATTGAGGATCTAAAACATTGTCTGAATATGAACCATAGTAAATTTTAGTGTTTATCTCTTGTGTATTGACTCCTGAAAATTTAATGACAGAACAACGCGGTTCAACAGCGTCTCGTACTTGTGCCTTCACTTTCCCGGCAACTACGGAGACGTTGACAACACGCGCATCTCCTACATTGGTCTCCGGGGAGACTTCAAGAAAATCAACCGCGACGCTATTGCTATAACAAATTACGAACTTAGGCCCAGTCTAGCTGATCATAAAAACGCCCTGGACGAAGGAATGAGACATGTGTTATGAGCTAGAGTATCCACAAGCTATGGAATTATTTACGCAGAGCCGGATCATTGGAAAGGCGACGTGCTTACGGGCATATATTTATTCTGTCCTTGATGAACATGGGCCTCATTGTTTCTTCTATACATGCGAGCCAATTTTCTGTACTGTGGCTGATCCTGATTAGTCGCGGAACTGGCTCGAGGACCGCGTTTTAGTAATGCCACTTCGCTTATTAGGTTTTATCATTTTGATATAAAAAAAATACATTTTCAATCATATTCGTTGAGTTATAACTCTTCTTCCTAGCTAAAACGTCATTTATAAGCTAAAGTTTGGAAATATGGTCTTGCATACGGATATGCAATCTGCTATTTTAAAATATGGTCCCCAATGCAACACGTCATGCTCCATGACATTCGATTGTTCTACTTTGAGTCGACGCTTTTAAAGAGACAAGAGCATAATTTAGTAGGTTAATTTAAACTTGACTCGTCACGGTTCTAGGAGGACCATAGACTATGAAGACGTAACCAGGGTTGCCAGATGGTATTTTTTCGGACAAATTCCGCCATTTAGTAGTATTATTCAATTGCATTGGCCGGCTAAAATTTTTGATGGCGGTATTTCGTTACTACATTTTTAAAAGTGCGAAAAAGGAAACTGGAATTTTTCACCGGAACCTACGAATATACCAATATAAATTGAGTTATAGCAGTTTTTTGTTCGCGGACATTGCCGTTTTTAGGCCATCTGGCATCCGTGGTTGTAACGGGTTCAGTGCTAATTCGAGATTAAAGCAAGAATTTTTTTAGGACTCCTTCGTTATTTAACCTGGATCTCGTTAGCTCATTTTAGCATTGAATTTTCTTTGTTAATAGATTACTAATTAGACGATTGTATCCTTACTTATTCAGACTTAATATTGTAATGTTTTTTTTTTCATATTATTTGGAGTGTATTTTAGCCTTTACAGGGGTTTTGAAGAAGATACTAAAAAGTTTCTGATGGTCATCCCTCTATCAACTATTTAGAGTAAATATGTAGTCAGGATCTGAAGAAGGCTACGTGAATACACTGGGTTCGAAATTTAGTACGAATTAAGAATAATAGAACCGACCAACAACCCTAAGTAGTTCTACACGACGACGATGGGACTGAAAGTATATTTTCAAACCACGTGGAGTGGCTAATAGTTCTCAGCTTGGGTTTCGTCTAAAGTTATGTTCTAGAATTTAGACTGAACGGTGCAGTATTGAATTTAAATTCATTTCTATTTTCAATAGACATTTCCGACTCAACAATTATATTAGTACTATTAATATTGAATGGATTACATAGATTTTTATTATGGATCATTGGTATGTAATAACCGCAGGCATCTGTGGCATGAATGATTGCAAATTATGCAGTTAATGTATTAGTGAAATTAGTATTAAACGAGCTAAGAGACAACGTTTACAATAATTATGGCGCGAGATACGAATTGATATTGGGTATGGTTGGAATGGATGTAGTTTATATTATCATATTAAGATTAAGAGGTACGAAATGACATTTGGTATGGTTGGAATGGATATAGTTTATATTATTATAGCAAGAGATATGAAATGACATTTGGTATGGTTGGAATGGATATAGTTTTGCTTCTTTGTGGTGCGATTTCTCTCCTAGTTTATATTATAGTGATGTCGGCGCTGACGAACAGGCCTAATGTACAAGTCGCCGATTTTCGTACTTTTGTGCCTCTGACCGGATCTTTTCAAAACTGACGATTGTTTGAAATAGCTACTAGACTTCCACCACGTTCGATTTGGTACGAAGCATTTCAAGTCTGAACATATATTTCTCCATAGCTTCATCTAGGTAGTCTGTTCTTGAACGCGTTCATACTCTCAGCGTCAACGTCTCAACGATGTCATCGGGGAGACTGTTCCACATGTCGGTGACTCGAAGCAGCGAAAAGAAGTGTTGTCGATTGGGCGAGTCATAACGCAGTTTTTTATTAATAGCCGTGGCCCCTGGTGTTTGTTCATGTTTCAAATTTTATTAATCATCATGGGACCTTGTATAAAACATTAGTAAACTTGGATACTACAATGAGGTCACCACGCAAACTTCGATAACAGACATTGAAGCGTCATAATCTTTGATATTTGTTCATAAGACTTAACCTTCATGCCTAGAATTATCCTTGTCGTACGTCTTTGAACACTCTACTGAGAGTTCGCGACGATTCGTTACCGAGGGTGTAGACAATGTGGAGGTTATTACTAGAACGGTTAAAATTAGCTACATGATATGATGATAACCCATTATAGCTCAACTCCACAGTTTCACTGAACGGCTTCCGACGTTGTGTTTCAGTGGTTGATGAAAGTGAAGTACATTAAAGCCATAAAAGTATTCAAAATAACAAATCTACGTAACAGCTTTCGGCAAATTCCGGAACGTATTGTTGCGGATTTTTGTTTGCAGTCCTCTCATCCTGAAGAAGTACCCGTAAGAGAATCGAACACCCAATAAAGTTTCCAGTACACTTGAGGCATAACTTGGTGCTCCCGACTGATCTGAGCACACGCGAGGAGAAATTGCTCTTTTGTGTAGCCCACAATGCAATAACCGTGGAAAGTTAATGATAGCAATTAGTTAAACATCAAGATCACCATAACAAAGACGTAAGTTTTACTGTAGCACAACGGACAAGCAGAACGACTGGCAGTCCAAAGAACAGGAGAGAAATCGCACCACAAAGAAGCAAAACTATATCCATTCCAACCATACCAAATGTCATTTCATATCTCTTGCTATAATAATATAAACTATATCCATTCCAACCATACCAAATGTCATTTCGTACCTCTTAATCTTAATATGATAATATAAACTATATCCATTCCAACCATACCCAATATCAATTCGTATCTCGCGCCATAATTATTGTAAACGTTGTCTCTTAGCTCGTTTAATACTAATTTCACTAATACATTAACTGCATAATTTGCAATCATTCATGCCACAGATGCCTGCGGTTATTACATACCAATGATCCATAATAAAAATCTATGTAATCCATTCAATATTAATAGTACTAATATAATTGTTGAGTCGGAAATGTCTATTGAAAATAGAAATGAATTTAAATTCAACACTGCACCGTTCAGTCTAAATTCTAGAACATAACTTTAGACGAAACCCAAGCTGAGAACTATTAGCCACTCCACGTGGTTTGAAAATATACTTTCAGTCCCATCGTCGTCGTGTAGAACTACTTAGGGTTGTTGGTCGGTTCTATTATTCTTAATTCGTACTAAATTTCGAACCCAGTGTATTCACGTAGCCTTCTTCAGATCCTGACTACATATTTACTCTAAATAGTTGATAGAGGGATGACCATCAGAAACTTTTTAGTATCTTCTTCAAAACCCCTGTAAAGGCTAAAATACACTCCAAATAATATGAAAAAAAAAACATTACAATATTAAGTCTGAATAAGTAAGGATACAATCGTCTAATTAGTAATCTATTAACAAAGAAAATTCAATGCTAAAATGAGCTAACGAGATCCAGGTTAAATAACGAAGGAGTCCTAAAAAAATTCTTGCTTTAATCTCGAATTAGCACTGAACCCGTTACAACCACGGATGCCAGATGGCCTAAAAACGGCAATGTCCGCGAACAAAAAACTGCTATAACTCAATTTATATTGGTACCTATATTCGTAGGTTCCGGTGAAAAATTCCAGTTTCCTTTTTCGCACTTTTAAAAATGTAGTAACGAAATACCGCCATCAAAAATTTTAGCCGGCCAATGCAATTGAATAATACTACTAAATGGTGGAATTTGTCCGAAAAAATACCATCTGGCAACCCTGGTTACGTCTTCATAGTCTATGGTCCTCCTAGAACCGTGACGAGTCAAGTTTAAATTAACCTACTAAATTATGCTCTGGTCTCTTTAAAAGCGTCGACTCAAAGTAGAACAATCGAATGTCATGGAGCATGACGTGTTGCATTGGGGACCATATTTTAAAATAGCAGATTGCATATCCGTATGCAAGACCATATTTCCGAACTTTAGCTTATAAATGACGTTTTAGCTAGGAAGAAGAGTTATAACTCAACGAATATGATTGAAAATGTATTTTTTTTATATCAAAATGATAAAACCTAATAAGCGAAGTGGCATTACTAAAACGCGGTCCTCGAGCCAGTTCCGCGACTAATCAGGATCAGCCACAGTACAGAAAATTGGCTCGCATGTATAGAAGAAACAATGAGGCCCATGTTCATCAAGGACAGAATAAATATATGCCCGTAAGCACGTCGCCTTTCCAATGATCCGGCTCTGCGTAAATAATTCCATAGCTTGTGGATACTCTAGCTCATAACACATGTCTCATTCCTTCGTCCAGGGCGTTTTTATGATCAGCTAGACTGGGCCTAAGTTCGTAATTTGTTATAGCAATAGCGTCGCGGTTGATTTTCTTGAAGTCTCCCCGGAGACCAATGTAGGAGATGCGCGTGTTGTCAACGTCTCCGTAGTTGCCGGGAAAGTGAAGGCACAAGTACGAGACGCTGTTGAACCGCGTTGTTCTGTCATTAAATTTTCAGGAGTCAATACACAAGAGATAAACACTAAAATTTGCTATGGTTCATATTCAGACAATGTTTTAGATCCTCAATACTTGTCTACATAGAATGAGTAAGCGCAAAATTCGGCTGAAACTGAAAAAATAAATTCAATATTACTGAAGCATGATGGATTCGAAGCGAAATAATGTTCATTTTCAACTCCTAATAACAAGAAAGTCATGTAATGTAACTAACTACACATTAGAACTGCTGTCAGTAAAACGTCACAGAATTCTGTTTGCAGAACAACTCACTTGATGCTGTATTCCTTTACTCCCTTACTGTCAGGATGAAGTTCGATTTCTTGGTCAGCTTCTCCCTGAACCTCATCAAAACCGCGGTAATTTCCTTTAAACCTGCCAAAACAATAAGATGTTTTTTTAGGAACTACACAAAAAGGCTCAGGACGTTCTTTAGACTACAATTATGTAAACATTTTTAACGTTTCCTTACAAATTGAAATTGAGTTAGGAACTGATCAGGGTTGGCAATGATTAAATCAAAATGATTAAATCATGTGATTAAATCACTTGATTTTTTTATAAAAAAATCATGATTTTTTTTATTTTTTCGATTTTTTTTTTATTTTTTCATATATTTAAAAATATTGAGTGGCAGTCTTCAATTTATATTGAGGTGTTGTTATTCATGGTTCAATATAAATGTACTATGAATGAAAAATTGGTATATAAATTTGTTGCCTTTAGTGTGTATTAGGTTCCAATAAATGGAATGTTTTTGGTACAGAGGCATCAAGTGTGCAATACATTGTACGTAGCTAGCAGCTTAGCTAATTCTTATAAGGCTATAAGTAGTCTAACTATTTGTTATATATTGATTTCAATATACAATTTAAATGTGTTAGCTAGCTTATACATGGTGGGGCAGAACTGATTGAACAGTTTTGAGGCAAAATAAAGGAGTAATGGAGGTACATAAAGAAGAAAGTTTATTTTCCTCAAGATTAGCATAACATACCATTTAAAATACTTATGTTTTGAAAACAATGTCAGGAAGATGGGGTTTGTTATCTGCATCACACTGTTGGAGTTGTTCTTGGAAGTTTCCTACAGCACGTTCACAAATATGGCGAGGTATGGCCATAACCTCTGCTGCAATAATCCACCCCCTTAGCTGTGGCAGGGTGTGAGGGTGGCTCCTGAACACCCTTTCTTTTAGGTGTCCCCAAAGAAAGAAATCGCAAATGCTCAAATCAGGTGACCTTGCAGGCCACTGTAAATCACCCCCTCAGAGACACCAGACCTACGACAAACATGCGTTTCAAAACATTGAGTGACATTCGAGCTGTGTGAGCTGTAGCCCCATCCTGCTGGAACCACACGTCTCTAAATTCTTCATTATCAATAAAGTTTTCCCTCATGGGCTGCAAGAAATTTTGCAACACTGCAGCATAGCAATCCGAATTCACTGTCTCCCCTCCTCTGAGGGGACTGTTACTCTCCTCTCTGACTGTTACTCCCTCCTCTGAGAACGACTCCAACCGTGTGTTGCAGCTAACAGCCCCCATCTTCCAGATATTGTTTTCGAAACATAAGTATTCTAAATGGTATGTTATGCTAACCTCTAGGAAAATAAACATTCTTCTTTATGTACCTCCATTACTCTTATTTATGAGAAATGAAATGTTATCTACAAGAACAATAAATACTATTCCACAAGTCTTAACATTGTAACCAGAATTATCAATAGTAGAATTGGCCTAATTTTATGATGGTTTAGCCCACAGTAATGCAAATTTCACTTAACTCATAGGCATTGAGTAAAGTGAAACTATTATTGAGCTCGGTATGCGACTTACAGTCTGACTTTGGTAGGGTGTATTTCTCCAGGTCCTCCAACAATAATGATGCCCATCAGTTTAACTTCACCAGTAAAACTGAAAAAAATTATGCGGGGATTATGATATGAACAACAAGGTATATAAGTGAAGTAGATGCAAATCAAGAAGAAAGAAAGGCATATAAATTACACTTTAGACATCAACTTTGCTTTAGATGTATCAACTGTGCCAAGTAGCATATGAAATAAAGAAATTTCACATTTTTGTTATGAAAATTTTGATACTAATGCATAAAAATTATAAGATTATACTCAAGGTTTTGTTTGTAAATATGTATAAATGTTTTACAAAATTCATCACAAGTAAAAAATCAAGATATGCTACAAAAGTTGGTACCAACTTTATAAAAATGATAATCAAGAGCATGCTTAAACTTAAGTACCAAATAAAACATGCAGTTTCAAAATTAATTTGAGCAGATAAATATCTACTGACGGGATATTGAATATGAGGTCACCATCCACATCACTCTCCACGTACTGGAAAAAAGTAACAATTAGCAGGAATAATGGCAGAACAGAAGCAAAATACTGTTCATATTCAACTCATTATGGCATGATTATTCAAAAGAAACTTCATACTGTATAATGGCATAAAATTGATACAACTAATCCAAGAATACAACATTTCAGCAGTTTTGACAGAAATAATAATCTCAAATGTTAACTGCAATGTATTTCAACTTTTAAACATCAATAAATCACAGAAGTTGAAGACATAAAATAAATCATTAGTCTCTTCAAAAGTAGGTGATATCAGAATGATTAATAATTTTTTGTATATTTTATACTTACAGATTGCAACTTACTTCTTCTGACAACCGATCCTCCCAAGACTTAAAAACTTTTTGGCCAGTTCCTTTGACAGCTTCATTTAGTGTGCAGAATTCAGTCCAGTTAATTTTAGTGTAGAGACTAAACTCAGCAGAACGATCATTAGCAGGATTGAGGGAACAGCCTGGCTCATGATCCCCTCCACCACAGCAACTATGTCCTCCAGACATGATCTCACAAATTATTTTAAATCTAATTTATCACATACAAAGGCCTAAAGAAAATTAGTAGAGCATCTGCAGAGTAAAGAACACCATTTACCCATCAAATAATTTATTGCTTTTAACAAATGAAAGTAAAGAAATAAAGAAACTAATAAAGAATTTTTTATGTTGCAAAATATGAATGATATGACAATAATTTCATACTTACAAATAAACAATATACAAGTATAATAATGCAACAAAACGTGAACTTAATTTTTTCAGTATACAGTGGTATAACTCAAATTTTAGCAGAAAGGAATTGAACTCTTTTCCAGCCTTTAATGGCAGAAATTATCTAAATAATCTTGTTTTGCAGTTGTGTAACTTGTGAGGCTTAGTTTATGAAAATGGGCAACAGCCATTTGTGAAGAAGACAAAATTCCCATGAACCCTTTCACCAGTTTGAATTGCCTCTGCCTAAATTTACATCATAGTTCTAATGTCTTGGAGAAATGCAGATGTAACTTCTGTAACACTAGTGGCATGAGCTGTGAAGCTTTAAATTTGAAGAAAGGATTGAAGTGTCTTTGAGAGTTGAGTTGGAGTCATAACAGTAGCTGTGCAACCCACAAAAGTAAGTCATTATCATTTTGTCAGTCAATGTCAGCATTTTGCAACCTGAAGAAGTAAGATATTCCACTATTCAATTCATTATTTTTTTAACTTACTTCGTGGATTGTAATTTGTGTATGTATGTTGTATTATATATATGTACTTTTTATTGTATTGCCCAAGAAAATGAGGACTCCCTCCAACTCACTACTTTGACCATTGACACTAAGTTTACTTTACATTCAATATAAGAATTTTAGGCGACTCTTTGTCTCGGATCAAAAATTAAATTACCAGTATTTTATTTCTAACTTTGATTAGTCAGAAGTTCTGTCAATCTTAGAATTGCAGCATGCAGTGCCAGCAGTAGTGACTGTGGAGAGTGGGCCGGCATAAAGTGACATACAAGGTCAATATTGATGCGATATTACCGTATCCATGAACATGCCATTGAGCATTTACAACAACCTTGTCCACTGCAAGCTTCATAACAGCAGCCTTATAGCATTTTTTCTGTATCTGTAAGCTTACAGGACAGCTTGTAATTTCACACCAATTTAATTGGGTTAAGTGAATTTACTATAAAAAAAAAAGATCGTGAAAAACACCTGAAATGGATAAAATGTTTCAGTGACAACCATCATATGTTCTGGAGAAATAAATCATAGTTTAGGTTAATTACTTTTCATTCTATAATGCCTGGTGCACAATTCTGTACCGGTATATGACAATCTATGCACAATTTTGTTGTGACCGATGATGCACCAATTTTTCGATCGGTGAAATTTTTTTGCCCAGCAAGGTAAATGTAATCAATATTCTTTGTTTTTAATCAATTTTTTTCTTAACTGGAGCCTTTGCCGGCTATTTCCGCATGGCGGGGCTACTCGGGACACCCCCAAAAACACATTTACAGTAGAACCTCAGTCAGCAAAGGCTCCAGTTAAGAAAAAATTGATTAAAAACAAAGAATATTGATTAACTCTTGTTAGTTATTACAATTAACAAATTACCCTATTTTAGGCTTCATTTGACACGAGACAATTTTATAGGTAATGATCATTAAAATGTAACTGGGATTTGTTAAGAAAAAATCTCAAATAATAGGATTAAGAATTATGCATGCAAAGCAAAATATAGCAAAGCCTGCAAAGGCAAGTCTACTAATTTGATTAGAAACTAATAAATATTCCACGATGACCACTGTCAGATGCAGACCACAAAACATTTTAACCATGTGGGTATCAAATAGGTAAATGTAACTATTCCACTCAAACATTTTTGGAAAATAAATGGAAAAGATAGATTGAAATTAACTGAAGAGCCTCAAATCACGTGTTGCAGAAAACTTTCCTAATAATTCAGTTTAGTTTTGAGCCTGAATATCAACAAACACATTTTTACAACAAAAAGCAATGTTACACATACACAGTTCACAGTTGAACCATGACTGAATTTTGTGTTCTGGAGATTTACTTATGAATTTTATCCCGCCAAGAGGCAAGTAAAATTTAGAAACGTATATTACCTACTTATTAGTAAATTATCAAGATTCTATTAATTTATTCTCTATTCTACTCATTAGGATTTACGATCACTTGCCTTTGGTTAGAGCAGCCATTGCGTGACCCACTCGGACGACAGTATTAATTAATAGGACTAAATTTCTTGGTCAGGTCGTCAAGACTCGAGTTCTACGGAGTACGGACCTACGGGACCGGCAATTTGCCCGTATCGTCACCTGACAGCTGCTGATGTTCTTTAGATAAGTGAACTAATTTAGCATGATATCTATGTCCAAAATCAAAGTCGCGATATTCAAATTTTGAGTTTTAATTGTCAACGTTCACGGTAGTATTAGCTATCACAGATAACATGTGAGATCCCCATGGAAATGATGGAAATAAACAGATAGCGTACAATCTTATATTATGGAAGTGATCCTACAGACTACAGTAAAACCGGGTAGATGAAAAAATATCTAAAAACTAAGGCTTGCTTGCTTTGTTGGAGGTGGTCCCAAACTATATGGAACACACACAGCTCGATGAAACTTTGTATATGTATTCATCGCAAGTTTTACGGATATACGAAGAAGCGACAGGCATTTCTGAAGCCTATTTTTAAATTTGCATTGACCATGAGCCGTATACGTATCAGCCGTATGACTCGCAAACGAAGGCAAAATAGAAAAAAAGGTCTCGAGCTAAACATCACCGTTTGGAGGTTGGGTATTTATATACTAAGTTTAGTTCAAATCTGTGTAGAAGAAAGTGGTTTAGGAAAAATTTCTTGATCACAGCGAATTTAAGCACGTATTGATGTTTAAATCACGAATGAAGGTGAAATTGAAAAAAAAACTCGGGAACGAAGGCAAAATAAAAGAGGATGATGAATTCTTCTTCAAGACCTATAAAAGAAGAATTCCAGTAGTTTGGAAGAAATTCTTTGATCACCGATAATTTCGAACAATCGCCATACAAGTCACGAATGAATGTGAAATTAAAAAGAAATTTCACGAGCTAAACATCACCGTTTAGTTCTAATGAATACCTGTATCAAGTTTCATCAAACTGCCTTCATTCGTTTGGTAGGTATTCTATGATCACTGAATTAGGAGATTGGCCGTGAGACCTGTTATTGGAACCATAAAAATGCGAAAACCGTCATATTCTCACATCTTTCAAAGCAGTTATATGTCCTAACAGACTATTTTCAACAACCGGTTTATATTATAGTGATGTCGGCGCTGACGAACAGGCCTAATGTACAAGTCGCCGAAATTTTAGGCTAAATAAAATTGTGACCTTGTAATTACAAACTTATTTCATGTGATTTTATGCCATAAACTCACTTGCCCAACCCAGATATGGATATACTTTTTGCAGCATATTGAACATTGTACACCAAATAAAAATTTCTGAATTTCTCTTAAATTTAGATGTACCATCAGTTGGGGTAATAAGGGACAGTCCTCCAACATTTCGTAGAAATGTTGTAGCAGCTAAAATAATCAAACTTTGCAAAACTAAAAATAGTGGCATAAAGTTCAACATTTTTACTATCTATGCAGCATAAAGCAAGTTGAGAAATCATACATTTACTACCTCTAAAAAATCCCTGAAAAAAGTGTGAAAAGTGAGATATTGAAAAAGTACCTCTGCTAAGGTCTGTACCAGAAGAAATATTTCTTGTATTGACAAATTTTACTTGCATAAAAGTTGCACGCTGGTATTGGCCTAAAAACGTGACCAACAGAATTTTCATATCTCATTCCAAGAAAAAATTGCAGCCATTTCTGCAAAACAGTGTAATGAGGGACACCCCCCTGGGGGAATAAGGGACACCCCTAAAGTTGCATTTACAGTAGAACCTTTGTTAGCAAAGGCTCCAGTTAATGAAAAAAAATCAATTAACAACAAAGAATTTTGATTAATTTTACATTGCAAAGTGAAAAAAAATTCACTCAACAAAAAATTACTGCATCAGCCATCACAAAATTATGCATTAGAATGTCATAGATAGAATTCAGCACTGGGATACAAAGAATGAAAAGTAATTAACCTAAACTATCATTTATTTCTCCAAAAAATATGATGGTTGTCACTAAAATATTCCTTCCTGTTTCAGGTATGTTTTTTACAATCTTTTTTGTTATAGTGAAATCACTTGACTCAATTAAAACTGTGCAAAATTACAAGCCATCCTGTAAGCTTACAGATAAAGAAGAAATGCTACATGGTTGCTGATATGAAGCTTGCAGTGGACAAGGTCGTTGTCAATGCTCAATGGCATGTCCATGCATGCAGTAATATAACATTAATAATATGGTAATGTATGGATATGGTAATATCATATCAGTAAAGGAAAAATGAGTACCTAGAAATCTCAGTCTTCACAGAAATGTCATTTATTCTACATTTACATCATCTACCAATGAAGAGGACTTCAGAGTACTGTTAGTAATGGAGGAGTACACTCTGCATGATTCAAACCTTTTAAAATCAACTTTTATTCAAAATATCCATTATTACCCTGTTCTTAGGGGTAATTTGGACACTTTTCTTTTGCATCTGGCACCTTATGAAATAACATGAATGGCATATAGAATATTTTGCAGATGCCATTCAATTGCTCCATAGTGACAAACCAGAAATTTCTTATAATCCGTTCATTTTTAATTTCAACATTTACTGAAGATTTAAACAAATTTCTTAGGTATGATAATGCTGGTTTCCATGAAACTTTACTGGCCTACTTATAGGACTAAAAATTGAACTTGAGTCAGTTGAGTGATGGTCTAAAAAACTCTCTGCTTTTCCCAGGCTGTAAAGTAGGGTCTTCAGCTCGAGATATCTGCGTCTTTTCAAGCCTTCCATCAGCCACCTCAACCTTAAATTGGCGTCCATGTCCGATCATAAACTATGGCTTGGGCAGCCATGACGATCATAAACTATAGATTACTTGATCAGCCCCACGGTCACCACGCGCATCTTTGGCTTGTACGATTGCTTGTATCTGTCACCTGATCACAATGTGCATACGTCTGGCATGCGCAATGATACTGCTGAAAAAAACTTGTCAATCTATTGCGTTCTAACGCGATCTATTGTGTTCTAATGCGATCTATTGTATTCTAACGCGACTCATTGTGTTCTAACGTGATCTATTGTGTTCTAACGTGATCTATTGTTTTCTAACGTGATTTGTTGTGTTCTAACGTGATCTATTGCGTTCTACTGCGATCTATAGCGTTCTAACACGAGTTAATGTGTTCTAACGTAATCTATTGCATTTTAACATGATCAATAGCATTCCAAATCCAACACAATATATTGTGTTCTAACGCAATCTATTGTGTTCTAACACATTCTATTGTGTTCTAACACAAATTATTGTGTTTGATTGTGTTCTAGCATGATCTATTGCATTCTTACTTGATTTATTATTGCATTCTAATGCAACCTATTGCATTAGAATGCATTTTGTGTTCTAACGCGATTTATTGCGTTCTATCGCGATCTGTTGCGGCCTAACGCGATCTATAGCGTACTAACACGATCTATTGCATTCTAACACGATCTATTGCGTTCTTACACGATCTATTGCATTCTAACGCGATCTATAGCGTTCTAACACGATCTATAGCGTTCTAACACGATCTATAGCGATCTAACGCGATCTATTGCGTTCTAACGCGATCTATTGCGTTCTAGCACGATCTATTGCATTCTAACACGATATATTGCGTTCTAACACGATCTATTGCATTCTAACGTGATCTATAGCGTTCTAACACGATCTATAGCGTTCTAACACGATCTATAGCGTTCTAACACGATCTATAGCGTTCTAACGCGATCTATAGCGTTCTAACGCGATCTATTGCATTCTAACACGTGTCTTACAAGCTTATCACAGGACAGCAGCTGCATAAGACTAAACATGCTAGTTGGATGAATTTCTTACTAAGAAATTGGCAGCATCACCAAGCATTTCTTCAATGAATATTCCATCTAAGAAAACGCCCTGAAAAGAACGAAAAAGAAGCTCCTTCATTGTTGTTTTTACAATTAAAGGCTGACTATTCGAAGCATCAATGAAGCCACTTTTTCTCAATGCAAGTTACCCATACCTCTGTAGAAATGTTTTAACTGAGATCAAACAAATAACGCTTACCTATGAATACCTGTATTACTTGTGATCGAACTCTATATGCTTTGCTGCTTGCAAAAACAGGATTTTTTCAATTTAATTCTTGTTTTTTCTGTGATTTATATTAACATAGTAAGAGATTCGGTGGTTTATTCCAGAAGCGCAAATTACGGCATAGAAAAACAGACAAAGCAATCCACTACCCCAGGCATACTTCTCCTAAGAAGCGTCCGTTACTGCCTGCATCGTACCAAACAGACAGCACTGAAGCAGGTAACAGCATCCCGTTTCGCCTGTTTTTTCTCTTTTTTTAGCGCATTTTCTCATTTATGGAAAAAATACCCTATTGTGCTCGTCATGTCCGTCCGTTTGTCCGTGACTTCATGTTTTCGTCGACGAGAAAATGCGCTCTCTGTCACTCACTGCAGTGAGTACTGAGTTATATATTTTTAGAAACGCCCGTTTCGGTTTGCTTCTATAAGAAACAGGCACGCAAGAAGCGCTCACAGCTGTTAGTTTCTCAAGAAACAGACACACACGAAAAGTCCTAATCTATTTAATTGATATTAAACAATCAATTACCTTTGAAGAACCTTGTGCACACACATCATCCATAACCTACATCCATAACCTACTGAAGAAACAAGCGCAGAAGAGGCGCCCTGGGATCGTTTCCACGGAGAAGCACGCCGAGGAGAAAGGATCACGCTGTGCCGTAAAAGCTTCAACTTCACAAGAGCCAAACTTTCTGCCGCTATCAAAGAAACAAACTTCGTGCGACTCTTCGAAGTCTCCTAGAAATTGACAGTGGCCCAATTTCGTCTGCGCTTGAAGGTGAAAATTGGCACCTGTCACTCATGAGAATTCTGGACATTTGGAGGAAATGATGGAATGGGAAATTTAGGCCAAGAGACAAATTCTGAAATAACGCAAGTTAATTTTTTTAGCGCTTCAAAATGACAAAACTGATGGCAAAAACGATTTTAATTAGTGTGTCTATTGTTGTTAGTGCCGTTTTGTCGTCAGTCGTTTCTCATCAGTTCATTGAGATAAAATTTAGTAAATATATAGATACTTCACTGAAAACCGGATTATGAGGAAAATATGCTACAAAAAATACTTCTTAATTAACGGAGCAAACGTAAGTGAAGCACATGCAAGGCATTCATATCCATTATTTTCCTGTACATAACGTGCGTAACGAATGCTCGCGGGTGAGCAGAGTGCAATTTAGTGCAGGAATAACTCCGAGAATAAAACATGGCGTGCATAACTTTACTTGCATTCGTTCAGTAAGGTTTACTGCAGAAACAAGTGAAGCAATTTTTGCGGGCTCTAAAGTAGCGCTGCCAGCATGCAAATGCTAGGGCTGCCGTCGTACGCAGAATCGTAAGAATTTTTCCATTTTAATTAAACGATACAACGATAGGCCTACCCTAGGCTGACCAGAGTGCTACCGGTAGTTATTTAGGCTTTATGCAGAGCAACAAAACTTCGGTGTCCGATCTGGTTTCTTTGTCACTGCCATGTTGACCACCAAAATAATTCTTACTATTTATCAAAATGACATGCGCAGTATTTATTTAATAAAAAAAAAACAATAAATTCTGTATTTTTTCAACCCAACGTGTGAATATGCGTCTTTATATTGAGTTGTGCTATTTTCTTTCGTTTTCGGTAACATGTACATATAAATCTCACGTAGTTATACAGCTATTGAAAGGCTTCTAAAGCATATAGTTGCTTTTAATATCTTCGACATGAGCGTTATAATACCAGTAAATACTCAATCGTAAGAAATGTAGATATTATTTTTCCATCGCACACATACAAGTTCTCAATGTCGGGACTCGGGTGCGTGCCACACTCCTACCGACGATTCCCAAGCGTACCCAAAATAAATCAGTTGGTAATGGAAATAGTTTTTCTATCAAGTAATTAGAAAACGTTTGAGCAGAGACTGCTTATTTTAAGCGACGCTCGAAAGAGTTGGATGCATCTGCAAGGTTTTGGTCACAACGGTTATGAAGATAGTTCTATAGAGATTTATAATTTAATTTTGTTTCAAAAGTATGGGATCACTTGAAAAGATTATTCAGCATTACATAAGTTTTCTAGCGAATTTCACTTCCATTATTGCATTTTTATCATACGTGCACTGACTGCACTCCAAAATCAAAATTTATTTGCGGATGCTTAAAGTCAGTAGTCAGTACTCAGTGTGTGATTATAAAATAATGACTTCCCATAGTAATAAATAATACCGCATGAATATAAATGTTCATAAATGATCAAGCATATAAATTAGGCAATTCATAAGAGAAAAATTGAGAAATAACTAAAGAATGCTTAAGAGAGATTGGAGGTGACGTAGATTTCCAACGTCGTTCAACTCAATTTGGAAATGTAAGCATCCGATTACAATAATTGATCCAAAAAATAATTATTGAGAATGTCTTCAAAGTCAATTGTAGTTTGCACTAATTTATTGTAAATAATTGATTTCCCTTTCTAAACTATTGTAAATAATAGGTTTTCTTTTCTGTTCTGAAATTGATTTATGGCCTTCCTTAATGGTTTTCGCACCTATAGCGATAGACTGAAAATACTGACAGCCATTTTACTTATTTTCGTTATGCTGACATCAGACCATCTCTGTAATAGTCAGTTTTTTTATCGGTTCCCAATATAATGAGATACGCTGACATCAACGCCGTGCTGACATCAGACCATCTCTGTAAATATCAGGTCAGGCCATCAGCTCTGAGTATAACTGGATGCGCTCAGAGCGTGGAAAATGAGAGAGATACTATCATACTAGGAATAGAAGCCGGATTGTTTGTGGAGAGGAATCGTGTGAGGTGTTATTGCATTATTTATATAAAAAATGATGCCGTGCTGAAAGTTGTGTCCCAAAAATTTTAGTAGCAACGAACATGTGAACCTGCCGCTTAAAAATCCGACCGGAAGTCAATTCCCCAATTTTACCATAACGACATTTTTTTCATGCGATTGATCAATAATGCAAACGAATTACGAAAAAAAATTGTTCTAAATAATGCTCATTGAATTTTTTATTTTTATGCCAGACCATTAAAAGATTAACTTAGATAGTATATTCTCCTAGCACCTTACAGACCAGGCAATAAATCAAGCAGCTATCTCAATCAATCGTCATTTATTGAAAAATCGGGTTCCAAAGGTCGGATCCCTTGTGAATCAAGTCACGAAAAGTAATAGAATCGGCAACAGGCCATGGGCCTATTTCTTCAGTGCCGACGCTTCTATTCTATTCTATTCTCATGCCCGACCATAAAAAGATTTACTTAGAGAGTTCAATCTCCTGTTAAGCACGTGTTTGAAGACACTAAAGCATTAAATAATTTCCCGTTCTAATTTTCTTGAGATTTTTCTCGAGCCTAATCGTCTCCTCATTTCCCAGATAATGAATTAATGTGATTGACTTCTTGAGATTCATTAAACAAATTCTGAAAATATTTCAAAGTTTATCCAACTTGCATCGCCGCTAGAACATTGCGTTCCATAATGTTGAGTATTTTGTTGCCTGATCTATAAATACAGTGAGTAACAATATTCTCAAGCCTCACCATAAACTATGAATTATAACTATCAATAGTGAACAAAAAATAATTAATTGGTTGAGGATTTTCCGAGAGGAATTACACGAGGCTCCAGCCATGAGGAGACGTGGCTGGTGCTCCGCTAGCTGTTTCCTACTCATCGTGTCTGGCATGGCTTTCACTCGCTTCACGCGCCGCGTGTCCCACGTAAGCGAAACGTTTTCGTACTCTATCCAAGTATGATGTTAGTTAGTGCTTAAAAGTAAAATAAAACCACAATTATACGGAGAAAAATTAAATGAAGGCCAATGTGGATTCACTATTTTAAAATGTTTTTTTTTTATTTTTGGAATAAATAGTTTTTATTTCGACCACAATACACTACCTCTGGCGTCAACCGCTTGAGTAGAAGAAGTTTCTTTTGCTAATGTTCGAGTCAGTATTATTGTTTTTGCAGTCCAATACTGAACCTTTAAATTTTTCACTTTTATTGCATGTTGCCAAATATCCCTAATTTCAAACACATGATCAGAAAACATTACATTTTTCGCGATTTTAATAAATTTTTTAGTGTATTATTTCATTTTATTTTATTCATCTATTTATTTATTTTTCTTATTATATTCTTTTATTTGTTCATTCATTTATTTTTTTCACCTCATAAGGCTCCCGACACCTACACCCCTAACGAGTTGGGCGTGTGCACGGGCCGACGTTGGCCCGCGGACGTCCCCCCGCTGTACGTGATCACTCCGACGTACCGCCGAGCTGAGCAGATCCCTGAGCTCACCAGACTCGCCCAGACCCTCCTGCTGGTGGACAGCTTGGTCTGGATCGTCGTCGACGATGCCGACGAGCCCACGCCTGCAGTCGTCAATTACCTGCAGGAGCGACGTATATGTCACGTCTACTTAATAGGTAATCAATTATGTCTTCATTTAAGTAAAATACCTAATATTAATTATAAATTTAAATAAAATAAAACTGCACGCCTGCAGTCGTGAAGTTTTTCCAAGAACGACACATATGTCACGTGTATCATCAAGGTTCTTTGTCATCCCGTGAAGACATTGTGATTGAGTTTTGGATTGGAGTACTCTGGTCTATATGTGTGCTGCGTGATTTAGAATAATGTTCTAATATTGGCGTTAATTTTTTCGTTACTTGGACTTAATGTTGAATGGTCCATTTGTCTGACTGGCAACTGTGAAGAAAATATAACATAAAAACTAACGCATAATAAAACAATTACATCCAACTCACCATGAGACATCTGAATAACAAATATCTGCGATTTTTATGGAGTCCATTTCCATGTATTTCCCGAGTAATTACTCGGGAAATTAAAATTTCCAGATCAAATTACTCTACAGCCCAAGTTGACACAAAAATATCATTTGTAATGTACAGTTGAAGATGATTTAAGTAAAATATAATTCATTTTGGCTTCGCATTTATCCCAACCAGCTCGCATGCCGGCTAAGTATCGGAACCGGAACAGCTTGCACAAACCGCGTGGTGTGGCCAACAGACGCAAGGGCTTGAGGTGGATAAAACGACACGCAAAAAGCGGCGGCTCTTTGTACTTCGCGGATGACGACAACACCTACGACTCGAGAATTTTTGAGGAAGTTAGTAATCAACGACTCCAAGTATTGAAATATAGTTCATGAAAAGGTATAAGCCATTACGTTCATTGGTTATAATGTAAATGTCGCTAATTCTGTTTCATAAATGTCGCGTTCATTTCATCTCTTCATTATATCAATAAAAAGCAGCAAAAAGCATTCTAGTTAGATCCCAGGTTTTTTTCTCATTAGTTCTAATTAAAAATCTTGCAGTGCCTTTCTCTTCTTACGAGATTAATAATGAACATGATTTATTTTCGAAGATACGACGAACGAAAAAAGTTTCCATGTTCCCGGTCGGTCTGGTTACGAGCCTCGGCGTGAGTTCCCCAATAGTTCGTCATGGGAGAGTCACTGGCTTCTATGATGGGTGGATTGCCAACAGGAAGTTTGCAGTTGACATGGCTGGATTTGCCGTCAACGTGAATTTTTTCTTGTCGAAACCCAAGGCTGATATGCCGTTTATGGTCGGCAGAGAAGAGACAAAGTTTCTAGAATCCATGGATGTAACCCTCGATGACATCGAGCTTCTCGCCGTCAACGCTACAAAGGTAAGAAAAATTTTATACCTCTGGTAATCGGTCGGTATTTCCGTCAGTATCAAAAAGATGGAAGTGGCTTGAGAGAGTATCCAATATTGTGATGATTCGTGTTCATTTATTCTAAATTTAAAATTTACTTTTGAAACATACATCATCTAATAATGTCATCAGCTGTAAAAAATGATGAAATAATCATGATGTAACTGTTTGATAAAAATGTCAAGGTTATATGACATCTAGTAGAAAAAAAAACACAAAAGAATCTGTATTTACGCGAATGATGAAGGCATGCAGAAAGGCACCTCTCAGAAAAATATATTTCGAGAGAATCACTAGAGATAGAATATTTTATAGATGAATGCTGTCAGCATGTTATTCAATGTTAACTTTCTTCATGTAACACGAATGGCTTCAGAAATTTGTATAAAATTTCATTCGAAACGCTGATTCAAAATGCTGACCTATTCATTATCTGTTATCTATCTCTGAAACGTTGATCTATTCATTATCTAGTTACTATATTAAAAACCGCTTATTTATTTTACGAACGCAATGCGACCTCGTCTCTCGGTCATAAGAAAGCCACTAGTGATAAGTAATATCCAAATTCTTACCTAGCAATCTCAAATTTTTAAGGCTATTTCTGCATTGGGGAAAGTAAAATTTTTATTTGAAGATAGAATACAATCATATAGTTCATCAATTTAGCCTTGGTTATTATATATTCCTTTTGGCAAATTCGAATGACAATTTTCTCTCATTGAGAGATCCATTCAATTAAATCCATCATAAAACTATTGAATTCGAAGAACCTTCTTCTTCATTTTATTTTAGAAGATGAGATCTTAGAATCATGCATGTTATCAAGTTGTACAGTTCAAAAACAAAAATGAAATCCCGCATATAATTTCAGTAAAGTCCAGAGCCCGGCCTTCGATGTAAAATTATCACTCACTCTAACTGCTGCAGCTGATGAAGGATTTATCCATCCATAACAACTTTAGTTCTTAATGGGTGTTTAGATCTGAATCTAAACTCGTGTTTATATTCCGTTTTTTAGATATACCATTAGGCTCAAATTAAGTTAGCCACGTTGAGGAAACATTTTATTCACATCAAGCAAGAATTTGGGCATCGATTTGAGTGACAAGATATGCATGTATCATCATCAGTTGATATATTTAACGTTGGGGATCCTCAAACTAGAATTTAGCAATTCGGGCTCACAATTTGATCTATATGTTTTTTTCATTCAAATGAGTTCGCAGAAATTGAAGTTACAACTAATTTCCACAGCACACAATGAACAAACCTGTCCAGCATCTTGAATTTTTCAATTGATAAGGTATTCAAAACTCAAACTCCATGTCCACCAATAAGATATAAACCAAAAACCTATAAAGTTAACTTATTTATAAAAAATTTTTGTTCAAATTAACGTGAACCTGCTGCATCATGTGAATAATCTTAAATCTAATATAATAATTATATTAGAATTTGTCCAAAAATTGTGCTCGATTACGATTTTTACGAACAGATTCTTGTGTGGCACACAAGAACGAAGAAAAACGGCAGGGCCAAACCAGGGGACAAGAAGCTCGACTACTCGAACAGCAACATCGATGCGTTAATAACGCAGATTTGGAGATAACATCTCATTCAGTTTGGTGGCATAAGCCAGGAGATAAATGCGTTTACAGTGTCGCCTGACAGCGTGAGGATTTTCTAGTCACCCCACAATTGAATAAAAATTCGTAGAATTAATCGACAAATGATTTCCTACAGAAAAAACTACAGAATCTGAAACAAAACGTAGTTAAATAATGTCTCGAATCAAAATCGACAAAAACCTTTCGGATTTCAGGCATAGACACTTCTTGATGGATAACGCACGAGGAACGATAGTTGGTTGCGTAATATTGGTAAATTGTATTTAAGTTGGATATAAATTGTATGGCATGCCAAGGTAATATGACAAATTGTACATGACACAAATTTCGTTGACAAATTGTACATAACATGTATACAAGGTAATAGAGAAAAAACTGAAAAATACTGGTTCTGGATAGTGGCCTTTACTGATGAGCTAACCTACAGTACCGTCGCTTTCACATCGACTGGGCCCAAACGAACTTTATACAATCCCACGGCACAAAGTTTTAGGTAAAAAACAGTTAATATCGTTGGAGAAACATTTAAAGAAACACCTCACCCTGATGTAGGACGGCACAGAAATGGGTGATAAATATCTCCACTGGGACCTGAAGCGATGATGTCAATAGTAGCTCAACTTGGCCTGATTTGGGCTTTATTTTAATCGATTAAGTTTCGCAGTTAATTTCAAAATTTTCATTTTCAACTCGTATTATTTAATAGGTGCCCCAGCATTTTGTATGAAAAAAAAATAAGATCTAGTACGCCAAATATATAGTTAATAAATTACTATTCGCAACTAGCATCGCCTATTCTTCACCTTGACTAAATAACATTTGCTGAATCATCATCGCAATTTGCTGATTCGTATTCATTTGCTGAAATTATCGTGCGTTAAACATTGGAGAAATGAGAACTTATCAGGCACATGCAGGGCCCTAAAAAGTTTTGTCGTCAAAAGCATCTCTTGCTCCTTTGGCGCCTTTGACCACAATGGTGTCTCAAGCTAATTCTATATTGAGCTACCGTTGCAGGCATTGGTATCAACAACTATGAAAAAACGACATTTCCGACGCATAAAAACAGACATGTATAATAAAATTTCACCGTTCTACTAGAGATTTTCCAGTGTATTTTTAAATTTTCATAAAATCTCAAAAAGATCTCAATTTTCGAGCACTCCGGGATTCAACTCAGATCGCGGAACATGTTCCCTGTATATTTTGCTGGCTCGAATAAGCCAGAAAAACATTTTGTTCAAAGTAATTGAACTGATCGCCGGCTTTTGTTGCCTGACGACATTGTTTGTTTCAGAAATATTTGAAAGCAGCCGTGCATTTATCAATCGCACTATAACACGCAAACTATATAGAAAATAGTGAAGAAAATTCGTGCAAACATCCGAATTACTGTTGGGGCCTTGTAACTTCCCACTAGATTCAATCCTATCCCCTAATATATTTTATCTTGCTTCTATATTATAAACTTATATTCTACTTTTTCAAGGCCTCAAATTACCTAAGATTTCTATCTTCCCGTTCATCTTCCAAGCCCGCGACCTGATTCCTCGAAATATGCTCCTCAATCGTGTCCCCCTGCAATAGCCATTAGAAACAATGTGAAAATAAGCTTATATACTCCATGTAATACTCAGGCAAGTGCCAATATGATCATGAACTTTCTTGATCTTTCTATCTGTAATTGAAAACAACGAAGTGATTAAGGTTATTTAGAATAACCGGTTTTACTTGAATTTCTTATCCGTTTCGATGGTAGGCCTGATTTCGGGCTCAGATGAAGCAAATCAGTTGATCGGTCCATCTCTGCCACATTTAGCTTGACGGTCAAATGACTGCTGATTTCTGATGACAGCAAAGCATAGGACTTCTCACTGGAAGTTCTTCGCTGATCAAAATGCACCGAAATCGAGAACAATGGTCAGCTGTATAGGCCACAGTTCTATAAAGTAATATTTTTTAACATGTTGTACATCACTATTCTGCACTTTATGCCATAATTATTACTTTCCATTTAATCTTTGGTTTTGGACGAATTACATGTATGTGCGTTGTTGCGAATGTTTGTCGGGAAGTAACAGCAACAACAAACATCATAACATCATTGTCCTATTTTTTAGAAAATTTGAGCGTCGAGATAGGCTGAGATAGGCTGAGATAGGCCGACATAGGCTGAGATAGGATATTATGAACTTGCCTGGAAATTTATTATGATCACTTAAAGTATGCTGAAGCATTTACATGAATTGAATAATTACCGAGTAATCCATTTGTTGAAGATTGTTTCAAATTTAAGGAGTAAAACAATAATCTAAATCAGCAGAGAGATAATCCGAAATATTCCCTCACCTTTACATCTTATCGCCCACAATGAATAACTTGATACATAAAAGGCATGCGGTATCTCATAGAATACATTTACCCGGCCGTAGACGATTTTATAGGCAATGATGGGGTAGAAGCTCTCGGTTTCCCACGCGAGGGCGTAAGAGTTTGCTAAGCCGCCAAATGGGCTGCCCGTTAGACGCGGCTGAAGAGGGAGCCCTGATATGGGGCATCGGGACACAGATTCATATTCAACTTAAATTTGGTTAATTTATATCATTTGATCTATGCTAGATAATCAGATATCAGATCAGCATCTCCCGAGCCTTTGTTACAAACAGATTACTTAATTCTAGTAACAAATTGTGTTGAATAATTTTATATGTTTGATATACTCGTGAACCTAATCAATAGTGGACCTGAATCACTAATCCTAAGAATAATCACTCCAATGACCTGAGCTACAAGCACGTCCTCAGCTATAATCTAAAATCATTCAATTATAATTATTCAATCAGTGTCCCTATATCTAGTCGGTTCAATTTGTAAACGGCTGCAAATATTCTTAAAATATGCCCACATAATCTCTGCTTAAAAAAAATGACACATTTAAAAGTCAAACAACTTGGGTTGGTGAGCAATCTACAGTTTATCTAATCAAATGAAGTTTATCTGATTACATCAGATCGGCAAAATTATTTGCAGATTTTAAGTCATCACAGCCAAAATCGCAAAAAATAAACCCATCTGCATTTTTTTACCGTGAATCAGTACAACACCCGGATAGACTTGCCTCTTTTAGTTGTAAAATAGACCATGTTAGATTCTGTTGACCAGCCGTATTCATTCTTGACTTTGACTACGGCCATGTAATTAGTAGAAAAGTTGAGGTCGTTGAGAATGTGCGACATGACGTGATGCGCGTTCCATGACTCAGTCTTCTCGCCCGCCTCTTCAAGAATTTCGTGCTCTTCCTCGAGCACTGAATCGTTCACCTGATCAAGTGACGAATTTATCTCGTCCGCCTCTTCAAGAATTTCGTGCTCATCCTCGATCACTGAATCGTTCACCTGATCAATTAATGAACTTATCAAAATAAGAAAATCAATTGAAGCTCGTTATTTTTTATTTTGTTTTTGATTCAGAGGTGGGCATATTATAACCATTACAGATGGACCAAGCCTCCTCCCGGTTCTTCAGAAAAACCCGGACATCAAGAGAAAGCGTGATCCATTTACTGACATCATGCATGTGAGGATTCTGAGATTATAATAATGATGGAGAGTGAATTCTGAAATAAATAATTAATCTCGAAATCTTTCGGTAATGATAAGTTTTTAACTTTTTGAAAATGGTTCTAAAACAAGTTTCTGGGCATAAAATTTAGATGACAATATTATGTGCCTTGCCCTATTATTACAAACAATCAATAGCTCGTATCGAAAATGTACAATGTGGTGTATCATGAAACACATGTACCCGGCCGTAGACGATTTTATAGGCAATGATGGGGTAGAAGCTCTCGGTTTCCCAGGCGAAGGTGTAAGAGTTTGCTTCCCCGCCAAATGGGCTGACCGTTAGACGCGGCTGAAGAGGGAGCCCTGAGGGGATATCAGGACCCCGTTGCATATTAAGCAAAGATTTAATCATTTAAAAATATATAATTTATTGTAACTATGTACACCAAAGCATCTTCCGAGTCGCTGCTTGAAGGCTCGGACATTAAATAATCGGAGAAAAGAAAAATGTGTTGCGTGGATAAATTAGGTTTCAGGTGGGGCTTCGGTTTGACCAGGTAGCTGTTCACTAAAAAACACCCTTACCTGTCATATGCACGACTGTGGTCTTCTGTCTTAAGCTGTTCACCGCAACACGCCATTACCTGTCATTTGTACGACCACGCTCTTCTGCCCGTGGCTGTTCTGTGCAGTGCAGACGTAGTTGCCAAAGTCTTGCTCCGTCACGGGGCGGATGATGAGCGAGTGGCGGTAGACATCGTTTGCGACGGTCGAGTGTGTCGCGTGGTCCACTGACTGGCCTTTCATTGTCCACGAAACTCGGGGGCTCGGGAGGCCGCGCGCTAGACACACCAACTCCAGCTGGTCCCCGGCACCAGTGCGCACCACCGACTGTATATTTGTGATGGAATATTGGCCAGTTAGGGAACGGCCTTGAAGCAATAAAATATGGATTCAAAACCCTAATAAAGTGTTACGTCGTACGAAGAGCTCTGATGGAAAGCGAAAAAGAGAAACACTGCTGGATGCGGCGTTTAGGTGGTCATGATCATTGTCATATACAATTATTAGATCGTGCTTGTTTGTTCAACTCGACGCCTTTTGTCAAAAATAAATCTAGTTTGGGCTTGATATTTTAACCATTAGATAGTGTTGTCAAGTGATGCATGTTAAATTTTATTGAGTAATACGCACTTTTTCTATAACAATCTCTGGTGGATATTCGATGACCACTACCATCGTCGTAGAGGCAGGTGCTCCAATGCTGTTCTCCGCCGTGCAAACGTACTTGCCTTCCATCAGGCGGTCCACTTTTTCGAGAATGAGAAATCCGGCCTGAGTATACAATTAAAATTTTTATTAACATTTTGTATGAAAGTGCGAACGTTAATTCACTGGTATTTCTTAGCATGTTCTTCAAACGTTATTTGCTCACAATCTATTTTCATCCATTTTTCAAATATTCTTCACACATTCACCTCAAAATTTTAAATTTCAAACATTTTTTTTAATTCCACCTGCATTCTTCAGT